TGATGCTGCTGCTTCTGCCGATGATGGTGGTGATGATGATGATGATGCTAATGATGCTCATGACGATCATGATGTGGATGATAATGAGGATGAGGATGATGCTGATGAGGAGGATGGGGATCAGGAGGAGGAGGAGGAGGATGAGGACCATGACCACTGTACACCCAAGGCGCATCAACGATGTTGCACTACGCACTTCCTCCGGTTTCCCTCTACTTAGATCCATACAGGAATTTATTTTCCATTGCGTGGGGTGTACCATTGGAAGAGAGCCGTCTGATAATCCGCAGTCGTGCCGAAACAGCATTCTTGGGACTTCCTCGCCGCAAACCAACATGACTGCTGCATCCTGACAAGCCTAAACCTTGCTAGAGCACACCTCCTGGGACTTCAGCACCACGAATCATCATGACTTGTGTGCCCAGACAAACCTAAATTGGGCCAGCACAGCTTTCCTGGGGCTTCCCAGTTTGCATCCTTGAAACTGTTGTGGCTTTTTAAGACGAGTATGTTCGGCGCTGGGGCGGGAGCCTCATTTAGAAAAGGGACCGCCCCCCTATCCTTGAAACCGCTTCGAACTTTCAAGGCGGATGTGCGCAGCGCGAAGACGCGAGCCACATTTTGAAACAACCCGCACTCCACCCTTGAAGCTCTTGCGCACTTTTACAACGAGTTTCGCGGCGCTTCGATGAGAGTCACACGTTTGCGGCGCTAAGGCGAGGGCCACATTTTGAACAGGAGCCGCCCTCCATCCTTGAAGCGACAAGTGTGCGCGGCGCTGCAGCGAGAGCCACATTCTGAGATGGACTCGCCCGCCGTCCTTGGAGGTGTCGCAGCTTTCTAGCTCAAGTTCATCAATTGTGAGGAAGTGTCAGGCGACCCACCCGACCCGCCCTACGCACACGTTTGCGTGCGCGACAGAGAGGAGTTATGTATAAGGAAGTGGGGGCGAAGGAGGAGGAGGAATAGGATGCGGAGGGGGCAGGATGGAGTGGGAGGAGGAGGTGGCTGAGAAGGAGGAAGAGGAGGAGGAGGAAGAGGAGGAGGAGGAGGAGGAGGAGCGGACGGAGTATGATAGTGATGAGGAAGAGGTGGAGGACCAGTATTAACCCAAGACGCACCAACGATGATTCAATAAACCTTCCCTCCAAGTTCCCTGGAAGGTAACCGTTTGGGGATCCTCAATCGTGCCAGGGCACCGCTCGTCGGACCTCAACGCCGTGGATCAACCTGACCGTTGAGCTCTGACAGTCCTAAATCGTGCCAGAACGGAAATCCCAGGCCTTCAGCACCGCGAGTCAACGTGACTGTTGCGTCTTGACAACCCGAAATCGTGACATAACACCATTCCCGTGGCGTCTTGTACATTATGAGACGATGGTGCCCGGCGCTAAGGCAAGAGCCACACTATGAGAAGGAACCGCTCTTCATCCCTGACGTTGCTGTGCACTTTCGAATCGAATGTGCGCGGCGCCAAGGCGAGCCCCACATTTTGTAAACGACCCGCCCTCTACCCTTGAAGCTGGTGCAACATGAATGTGCGCGACGCTCAGGCGTGAGGCACATCTCGAAAACGACATGCCCTCCATGTATGAAACTGCTGCAAACTTTCACGCGAATGCTCGCGGCGCTGAGACGAGAGCCACATCTTGATCAGGAGCCGCCCTCCATCCTCGAAGCTGCTGCAAACTTCTATGACGAATGTGCGCCAGGCTAAGGCGAGAGCCGCATTTTGAAGAGAACCCGCCCTCCGTCCATCAAACTGTTGCAAACTGTCGCAGACGAATGTGCGCGGCGCCAGGGCGAGAGCCACATTTCCCAAAATTACCCGCCAACCACACTTGACATTGTCGCAGATCAAGCTTCGGGATCACACATGGCGAGGGAGACTCAGGCGAAGCACACAGCCCGCTCTACGGACGCGTCTAGGGGTGCGACAGGCAGGACATATTTTCATGGAGAAGCGAGCGAGGAGGAGGAGGAGGAGGAGGAGGAGGAGGTGGAGGAGGAGGAGGGGGATGATCATCATCATGAGGAAGAGAAGGAGGTGGAGGAGGGGGATTATGATGATGATGATGATGATGATGATGATGATGATGATGATGATAATGATGCTGCTGCTGCTGATGATGATGATAGTGACGATGAGGATGCGCAGGATGGTGATTAGGATGATGATGCTGATGTTAAGGACGATGACGGTGACGACGATAATGATGATGATGTTGATGCGGCTGATGATGCTGATGATGATGCTGATGCTGCTGATGATGATCAGGATGATGAGGATGATGACGAGGATGGTGATGATGATGATGATGATGATGATGATGGTGATGCTGCTGCTGATGAGGATGATGATGCTGATGCTTATGATGATGATGATGCTGATGATGATGCGTATGATGATGATGCTGACTATGATGATTATGATGCTGCTGATGCTGATGATGCCGATGCTGGTGATGATGAGGATGCTTACGATGAGGACGATGATGAT